ACTGATTATGGATTGATCCCCATCTTCTCAACTCCTCCCCAGCAGCCTTAGAAAAAGACTCCTCACATCCTTTGTGGTCGGCGCAACCACATTGATTCTGTCAGAAGGCAACCTGATGTTTGCTCAAGTAACACACATAAGCCTCATGCCCCCAAATGAGCTATTTAAAATCAAACAAATAATTGTATGATTGATTACACCAACCATTGTATCAGGAGATTATATGCATTATATGATTATAAGCGTCTTTGAGTTTGAGAAAAGCGCTATATAAATATAATTTATTATTATTATTATTATTCACAAGGTGAGGCGGCGAGCTGCTCAGCTGGTTGGCGTTTTCCTTAGAATTGCTTTTTAATCTGAGATATATTTTTGATCTCCATAGACAAGCCTGACTGAGCAACACGGTCACAGCTTGGGTCTTCAGCACCTTAGCTTTATATTGTTAGGTTTCTTCTGTCTATTTGTCTTATTTTAATATATTTATTTACATTTTTAACTCTTACAAATGTGGTTTGTTAATGTCAGGTCTGTGAGGCAATTTGGCTATTTAAATTACTAATACAATAACATTAAAATAAAATAAAGTATTGATATCAATGCACATTAATACATATTAACGTCTTATATTTGTGTGTAATGTTTTTGTATATATAAAACATCTTTCCTTGACACTTGAGAACATCTGTTACCATCTTTATGCAATAGCGCCAAGTAAGAAAATTGGCTAATGGTATGCTGCTATGGTTCAGCAACACATGAAAATCCCTGTAACCGTATACGCTGCTTTTTTCAATAGCTTCTATGTCATGTGACCCTCCAAATCAACGCAGCTTTCTATTGTTTGGTGTATGGCGCTGAATCATAGTGTCATACCATTAGCCACTTTCAATCTCAGCATCACTCTCTTTGTGTTCAACAAAATATGTAAAGAAGATTAGCAACAAACATTTGTATTCATAACCATCAGATAATGTTAGCATGCTTACACACTAAGCTAAGTTGGTTCACATGCTTTGCAGTATGCCTCCAAATTTGCACCAGTATGTTAGCATGCAGATACTAGCATTTAGCTCAAGGCTTTGTTATTATATGTTAAGTCAATAATTATTTGATCATTTTAATGATCATTTAATTCCTTGTTCATAGAACAACCTTTACTGAATGTGTGATGGAGGGTCACACACATGAGTTAATTGTTTTCAGCTATTTTCTTCATTTATGAATCATACCTTTTTTCCTTCTTTATATTCTTATTAATTCAATTCAATTCAAACAGCTTTATTAGCATGACCATAATTATATGCAGCAACATCCATACAGAAATACACATTTGAAACAAACTGGTAAATTCTGAGCATAAGCAAGAACAACATGTTTTCTTTATTTCTTTTAAGCAACACAAGGAAGGAAAATTCAGTCAACTCATATATTCTTATTATTTGACAACAAAAATGATGCAACCCTTACTACAGCATAAAAAGGCTGACTATAAAATAACACTAAATAGAAACCCAGGGATAATCTTTTTATTGATCTATTCTAGACAGTCGTAATTTATCTAATGACAAGATAGAAACCAGAAATGTCCTGACCGGCATGTCATTTGTGATGTATGAGAGGAACATGTGAGAATTTACTACAGTGTCCTGGATCTGCCTGAGACACCTTATCCCCACCCCTGTAAACACACACGCACACGCACACGCACACGCACACGCACACGCACTCACACTCACACACGCACACACACTGAGATAAATACAGCAGCAGCAGTTGTGTGGAGCAGACTGTGTAGAAGATGGGATATTGAAGCAGAGTGATAGGGGGCTGAGCTGGCTTCCCCCTGCAGAGTCGACAGTGTAACACCAATCGGCTCTGAATAAATCTCAAACATTGATCCTTTGTAGGCAGTGGCGGCGCCAGGGTATGGCTGGGGTAGGCTACAGCCATACCAAGAAATGGCTTAGCCCCACCTTAGCCCCACCATGAAAAATGATGTTAAAGTAAGCTAAATAAAGTCCGTCATCTCGCGCGGAGTAAATTGCACAGACAGCAGTTAGTAAAATTGATTTCAGTAGCCACTTGTCTGGAAATACCGAAGACTAGAAACGGTTTTGAAAACTTTTGTCACGTAGTGATCTTCTTCCCAATAAAACATCTTTGATAATGTCTTCTGGCCAATCAGAATCACGATAACGGCGTGCAGGAAGTCCCGACGGAGAATACTTTAGCGGTAGTACATCTCTATATACATAGATACAACATTACGTGAAATAAGACCCCACGGTTTGATGATTGATAGGTGTGTGGGCTGTCTTTCATTTTGACACACAGAACAATGGGGGCTATCCACCCTTATCCACAATGTAATTCACACAGCCTCTTCCCCTTTCTCTCTGAGGAGCAGCAGGTTCAGCTTTCAGAACAAAGTAACAAAAAACAAAAATGGCATTAATTTTTTTAAATATGTAGTAATAGATTTATTTATTTTTCTTCTCAAGAGAGTACCAGAATGTGTATTTTATGTTAGTATTTCAAAAAATCTCCTGGGGGAGAATCCCCCCAGACCCCCCTGCAGGGGTTGGGTTTTCAGCATGTCAACTCTTTCACCTGTGGGGAAATTGCAGGATTGGCTCCAGGTCGCCCTTTTTATTTACTACAAGACAAATGTGCCTTTTTATTTCATACAGTTCAATTTGGATTGAGACAGGGAAATAATCTAAACCTCACGCGTGGCGTTTCACTGTCAAGGGGGGCGATAATATAGCGTGTATGTAATTACATTGCAAATACTGACTTGAGCCCCACCACTGTATGGGTTAGCCCTACCATAGATTACCCAACACAAATACTCTGGAGCCGTCACTGTTTGTAGGTATTGAGATGACTATAGCCACTGAACTGCATTACACACATTCAATTCGACACTAATTCACAGAAGGAACTGTGGAATATGAATAATTCTGCTTACAAACTGAAGCAAATTAAACTGCCTTATCCCTTTGTATCATCATATCTTTATGATCTATATTCCTTATGTCTTTATATCATTAAATCTGTACCTAAACAAGCCGATCTAACTGGAGTCAGTAGTCATCTCCTGCTCTATTCATGTGTCTCTCTCTTTTATTCACTCTCACATTCTCCATATCAAGTGAGTTTGATTGAGTATCTTTTGCTCTCTCGTGTGCTCAGCAACAGCCACCCTCCTCACCGCCACACACACACACACACACACACACACCACACACACACACACACACACACACACACACACACACACACACACACACACACACACACACACACACACACACATACACAACCTGCCTGTATGCGGCTGCCAACCTCATGAAACACTATGCATGAGGAGACCGGTACTCTGGATTCTTCTGATCCTTCATTTTGAGGTAAGCACACTCCTTGCTGGACTGTATAGCGCGTTGGTCAGTATTATACATTTGACGGACCCGGAGGGACCCTAAGTGGTAGTAAAGCGGTCTGCAGCATTCGGATCAGCACTGTTGGCACTTAATGCAAGCCGTATTAGTATTTCCTCTGGTCTAGTGTGGTAAAAACTGTCTGGTGTTGCAGTCTGAGGTAGGTATGCAGCAGATACCATGCTGTTGATACTTGATTTGCCTCATTTTTTTTAGATGTACAGTCAGCCCAGAATGTGCTTCAATATGTTTTTGATGTATAAAAAAGTAGATTATTGTGTTTAAGGAATAACAGATGGACAGAAATGTATTGTTGTTTTTCTTTTCTTTTTCTTGGTTATTTTACAAATGCATGCAGTAAATACAAGTACCAGGCATATAGAGTTTACATACACTGCTAACTTTTGGCTGTGTTGTGTTCAATTTGGTAAGTGGACAGTCTCCTTGTGTATTCCCAGCAGCTGTAAAACTGTTTGGAAAGAAGTGTACATTTTGCTGTCACCGTGTGACAGTTTATTGCCTTGATTTTGGATCAAGATCAACAGAATCTGCTGACTCAAGAGCTGCACCCACCGAACTTAGGGAGAGGAGAATTCGTTTTTATTGTTTCTTGTTTTAATTCTAGCTTGCAGTCTAGTGATGAAGAGATTATTCGGAAGTGGCACGATCCTGATCCAAATGGTGAAGATCTTTCACTACGATATTCAGGGAAAGGGAGTGTTGGATACGCCTAATTTCTCCACTCTTTGACAAAGTATCAGAGTTCAGAGCCTTGAATCTCTAGTTTCAGTTGTATATGTGAATGCTTTCTTGGTTTGAGCTGACAATGACCATCATCATCGCATCAAACTGGGTTTAACGGCTGGACATCAAAAACATCCTCACCTCTAACATTTACCTCTGAAGTTCATTATCTGCTGTTTTTGGAGGTACCTGCACTTCAACTTGATTATTGATTCAATGCTTATATGTGTAACCTAAAGGATTCACACACTATACGTGTAACCCCGAGTGACACAGCCACGCCTGAGAAATTAACTTGTTGTTGCCTGTCATTAAGGATTGTCTAACAGCATTTGTTCTTCTTAATCAAATAAGTGTCTGTGGTTCGATCTAGTGTCCCCTCCTTCAGAGTGTGAGGTGGACGGACTCCCCAGTGGTTACGGATCCAGGGACTCCATCCTCAGACCTGGAGCGAAGAAGGATTGGAAAAGACGAAGGCGTGGGCAACTAAGGCGGATTGACAGGTAAGCTCAGCCATTATGAGTGCTTCTTTATGTGCATTCATGACTGAGCCACTTGTGCAGTCGAAGTGGTCAAAGTGTTGGTGGACTGGTGTTTCATCTGTTGTTACATTTACTCAGTGTCAGCAGTGTGGGGAAGCCATTTAATGCTTCATGTGCAGCTAATAGTCTTGCCGTCTAGTGCTGGGTTTGCTGTCAGACTGGAGTTGTGGTCGGTATGAAAACGTTGTATTCATGTGGTTGCTGATGTTTCAGCTGCAGCAGCTGGGATCCAATCCATACCAGCCCAGCTGAGTCTGGGAAAGGGAAACAGCAGCCTTCATTCGGACTGGACGGAGGTTCAACCATGCGCTGCTCCACCCTACTCGGCATCCTCACGGGGGTGCTTCTCTACTTGGTGCTGGGAGCCGTGGTGTTCCGTGCTTTAGAGACTCCACGACAGGAGGGAAAGCACAATCATCTGCAGGACACACGCCGGGACTTCTTGTTGAACTTCACGTGCATGGGCCCAGAAGACCTCCAGACCCTTATAGAGGTACAGTACAGCCCATGACACCATGTCCAGTTTAAATGTCATAAGTCTTTAACATTCATGTTGCTCCAAGTCTGTAAATGGGCATATTAGTGACACACCACAAATACTGTTGTTTCAATATTGTGCTGCATAAAGCCTTTTGTTGGGCATGTGACCCCTTTAAATTATACAATACATGTTGGCTCAACAGAGTTGATGGCCTTGACAACATTTTCTTTTCTTTTCAGAACATGTAATTTATAGCAATTTAACCCAAAAAGTAAAAAAAAAAATCTGTGTCTTCTGAACTTGTCTTGTAACCTTTGGGGGTCTTGACCCCGAGGTGCACAAAACCGGGCTTATTCACAGAGTTTACCAAGCAAGACCCCATTTGCCCTCTGTGCCTGAGCTACCCCCCTAGCAGGAGAAACAAGTTGTATCTATGCTGTTGTGGTTTCGGAAATACGAGTAGCCCATACCTGCTAAAGTTAGACCGCTATATCATCCAGACTTTCATTACTCAATGACAGACTTCATAGCGACTCAAATCAAGAGGCAAAGTGATGCCCTCAGTTTAGCACTTCACAGAGCATTTTTTTTTTTTTATCTGGGGGGAAATGCTTATGTTGCACTTCTTTATTTGAAGAGAAACAGCCCCTTAAAATGTCTATTACTGTCCCCTAAACACAATAACTACTGTATAATATGTTGACAATACGTTACTTTTGTCGAAACGGCAAAATGTCATGCCATTAATATTACAAAAATAAGCTAAACCAGAACTTTTTATGTTCTATCTTCTTTAACATCTGAAACATAACAGGGTCTTAAACACTGGCCAGCTCTCGTAGGCATAAATACAGTTACACCTAACTGTCAGGGAATAATTCTGTATACATGTTTACCTTTTGCCCTCTGACGCAGATGCCCAACCTTGGGCAGCCGCTATCTCCCTTAAAGTGGACCTATCATGCTATATTTGAATAATATATTGTCGGGCCATACCTATATAAGGTATATTTATACGTTTTCTTTTTCAAAATACCAAATAGATCATGCATTTTAGCCAAGCCTCATTTCGCTCTATTTTGCTGTCCTCCACCCTGTCTTTGCATGCGCTGCAGCTGACCACGCCCCCCTGCAAAGGAGGGGGCCGAGTTACGAGCGTCGTGTTACCATGCTGTTACCGTGCCACGGCAACCTCTCATTCCCCTGATAGGTCAGCTCCGCCGTCCTGACGTCAGAGACATTTTCAAATCTGGATCAGTCTGTATCAGATCCGTTGCAGCCCCGTTTTTAGAGATTTGGGTATGGAGGAAAAGAGAGAGGGTTGTGTTTTCTGACACTTGGTGAGTTCCCTGGAACACCGGGGACACATATTCATGTATAAACTTTGTTTCTATAGGTAAATACACATCTGAGTTGACAAATATGACATGTGGGGTACCTCAAGGCTCCATCTTGGGGCCTCTTCTCTTTAACATCTACATGCTACCACTGGCTCAGATAATGAAAAACAACAAAATAAGTTACCATAGCTATGCGGATGACACACAAATTTACGTAACAATTTCACCAGGAGACTATGCTCCAATTCAAACACTGAGTAAGTGCATTGAACAAATCAATGACTGGATGTGTCAGAACTTTCTCTAATTAAACAAAGATAAAACTGAGGTAATGGTTTTTGGAGCCAAGGCAGAACGTATAAAAGTTAGCGCTGAGCTTCAGTCTGCAATGTTCAAAACAACAGATAAAGCCAGAAATCTAGGTGTAGTCATGGACTCTGACCTGAGTTTCAACAGTCACATTAAAACAGTTACTAAATCAGCCTACTATTACCTAAAGAATATATCCAGGATTAAAAGACTAATGTCACAGCAGGATTTGGAAAAACTTGTCCATGCTTTTATCTTCAGTAGACTGGACTACTGTAATGGTGTCTTTACAGGTCTCACTAAAAAATCTATTAGAAAGCGGCAGCTAATTCAGAACGCCGCTGCTCGAGTCCTCACTAACACTAAGAAAGTGGATCACATCACTCCTGTTCTGAAGTCCTTACACTGGCTTCCTGTGTGTCAAAGAATAGATTTCAAAATATTGTTGCTGGTTTATAAAGCTTTGATTGGTTTAGGCCCAAAATACATGTCTGACCTACTGCTAAATTATGAACCATCCAGAACTCTCAGGTCTTCAGGGACTGGTCAGCTTTCTGTCCCCAGAGTCAGAACTAAACATGGTAAAGCAGCATTCAGTTATTATGCTCCAAATATCTGGAACAAACTCCCAGAAACCTGCAGGTCCGCTGCAACTCTTACTACTTTTAAATCCAGGCTGAAGACTTTTCTTTTTGCCGCTGCTTTTAATTGAACTATTCATATCTTAAACTGCACTGTAACTTTTATCCATGTATTTTTTCTTTTAATGTTATTTTATTATCTTTTATTTTTAATGACTGATTTTAAATGCCATTTTCTTAATGTCTTCCATTTTTGTAAAGCACTTTGAATTGCCTTGTGTTGAAAGGTGCTATATAAATAAACTTGCCTTGCCTTGCCTATAAAAGACGTACAAAAGTGCATTTTGCATGATAGGTCCCCTTTAAGGAGGGGCTGCCCAAGCATTTTGTTGTTGTTACCAGTTTATGACCGGGCAACTTCGGTCAGAGATAGTTATTGTTGTGGGACACCTGGAACACATCCTTCTCGGGGTGTACAGTAGATGACCCGAGCCATAAGCGACAACAAATGTGATTCAGTGTCCTCAGCTGTTTAGTCTATCTCTTGAAGAATGTTGATTATTACACTCTGAACTAGTTAAAACCTGGAACTACAGGAGGGTTCTTCAGAATTGATGTGGCATCTCAACCGTGTGGTCAACTCGTGGCCCGTGAAATGTCTTGTCAATTCTCCAGCCGAAGCTCCAAATAAATCGTCAGTGTTTGCCATCAAAGCTCCAGCTCTCCTCGTGTCTCTCTGAGTCCTGTTTCCAATTGCTTCAGAAGTTTCCCCCACCCTAAATGCATCACTTTTTATATTCATTGGGAACCTGTTTGACCATCTAAAGGAAGGTTAAAGGAACTGAATGACATGACGGAAGTTAAGCAGGCCAATACCTTATTCATACAAAGATGATGAGAGATCTGAGGTGCTCTAAACAGGCAACGTGTTTCATGGATCATAGAAGTAATATTGATTTGATGATTATTTTGAAACCTCTTAATCTTCAAAAGGTCTTTAAACAAGGGTTGGTTAAAATATATGGAAGTTTACCATTTTTTTTACCACCATCATTTTTAAAATCATTTTTAAAAAAACTAGCTTAAAAACAAGTCAAGTTATATTCCTTAAGTAACCATTTTAACGTTAGCTTGACAAGGCTTCATATGCTACCTACAGTACCTAGAAGGCTAACTAGCTAACAAGCTTGTGATTCTAGATTATTATTCAGTATCAAAGTGGAGAGCCTGTGTTAGCATTGTTAGCTGGCGAGAACGACAACAGGGAAACACTCACATTTTTATTCTTTGCAGTGTGTCTCTCAGGGGAACATTTTGATTCAGAACACTGCAGAGGTAAATCTGAATGAAGAAGCTATTGCTAGGAGCTAACTACATTTGTTCTCCACTTTGACACCGAGTAATTAACAAAGCCTACACCTAGCCTAGCTTGTTAGCAAACTAAATAAGTAGCATGTGCAGCTTCGATCAAGTAAAATACAAAAAAATAGCATTTTTAAATGAAATCTCTATATTAAAGTGGACCTATCATGCTATATTTGAATAATATAGTGTAGGACCATACCTATATAAGGCATATTTATACTTTTTTTTTTTCAAAATACCAAACAGATCATGCATTTTAGCCATGCCTCATTTTGCTCAATTTGACATTTTTTAGCTCAGTTTTTGCAAGGGCAGATTCTGTGAGAACAGCACCATCTACAGGCCTGGCATATGTACTACAGCGTCTCCAGTGCTTTCGAACGGCAATAGCCGTGGCTGTCTCCTCCTGATTGGTGGAGTTGGCCCAATAGCCGTAGCGCCACTGTCCTGACGTCAGGACAGTGTTCAAATCTGGATCAGTTTTTATCAGATCCGTTGCAGCCCCTTTTTTAGAGATTTGGGTATGGAGGAAAATAGAGAGGGTTGTGTTTTCTGACACATGGTGAGTTCCCTGGAACACCGGGGACACATATTCATGTATAAAAGACGTGCAAAAGTGCATTTTGCATGATAGGTCCCCTTTAAATAAGAAAAGGTGCTACGAAATATATTAATATATTATAATTATTCATCTTTTTAACATTGAGTTAAAGGTCCCAGGTCATGCTTTTCCAGTTATTACCCGTCCCCTGTGTGTTATGTAGCTTTTTCTGCATGTAAACGGTCTGCAGAGTCACAACCCCTCAAAGTACACCCTGTAGCGAGTAAAACTCTAACACAGAAAATACCTGTCTATGCTGCCCCAGAACGCCTCGTTGGAGATTTTTCTTTTTCTTCCTGGGTACAGTGACGTATTGGGTATAGTGACGTAACGTTACTTGCGCGGAGCCGTTACGTTTGGACCAATCCGCGGACTTCCTTTTCTGGTTGCTAACAAACGCCATTGTAACACATAAACACACATCAGAGCACACTGGACTCATAGGGAGGGGGGGGGCAGGAGCTCCAACAAGGCGTGTAGGACAGAGAGTGAATACACATACTATACAGAGATGCTGTACGAGAAACCAATGTGAGTTTGGAAAATTGAACAATGTAAATCTATTCTAGTAGACCTCAACAATGGAATTATGATCAGTAGAAATGGTCATGACATGGGACCTTTAACACAACATGGATACAAGCAACACAAGTGAATGCTGGTCTCATCAGGACATTGCACACCAACTGATCAATATTTAAATGGTGAATGTCTTTAATCATAAAGAGAAATATGTTAATTCAAAGCATCTGGCGGGTTTCTAAAAGTACATTTTTTATTTTCAAATGAGCCCATCAAAGCGATATGAATACACTCATAAGAACCCATGAGTTGATTGTAACTAGTTAGGTGCTGTCAGAAAGAAAACAACAAGCTGAAGTCCTATTATTCATGAGTGAAGCAGGCAGCTGTGATAAAGTCATTCTTCAGATGTTGTTCTGCTCAACAATTAGCTTTGTGGGTCTGGTTTCACTGAACCAATGTCAGCTGACTTTTCAACAACTCCTCAAGTTATTTCATAACCACAATCTGTTCTCATCTTGATTCATGTTAGATGTCACACCCAAGGACATGCCACTCTTGGCTATAAATGTAATTGATCCTGTATATTGAAATACTCATGGCAACATGTGGCTGCTGTATCTGCAGTCAGGTATGTCTGTATATGGTCATTCAAAGCAATAGTGAACTGCTTGCACATTTTTGGCTAGTATTACCACTACAATTATATTGCCTTTGCTGATTTATGGCATTACAGCACTGAAATATGCTCAATAGTTTGAAAGGGTAGAATATTCTCTATTTTCTGGCACCACTCAAATTCCCAGCTGTGATGAACAGAAGACTACGCAGAAGTTGACACGCACATTGGTTAACCTCTTATTTTAACCTTTGACCCTGAATTCTAAAAACAGTTTTTTACTGCTGACTGCCTAGAAGGAAGATCTGGTTCTGAAAACCATGTTGCCACCTAGAGATATGTCAGCCTTAAACCAGCAATTATTATGCTTATTTGGGGTTTACCTGTCCTGTAGATTGTTATATGTTTTTGTGCATATAAATGGTCTGCAAAGGCTAAAATCCCAAAGTTCCCTCCGGAGGGAGTTTCTCTTCCACACACCGCCCCCATTCCTGGAACGCCTTTATTGGACTTTATTAACATCCATAACATAGTGACATATGTTACACTCGCAATTCAATTGGCTAGCGCTCCAATACATTGTAAGTTGTAGGTTTAGGGACGGGACATCTCTAAGCGGTTGACCAATCACAACAGAGCCGACAAGCTAACCAATCAGAGCAGACTGGGCTCTGGTTTCAGACCGAGGGTGAAAATAAGTGCTGCAGTATGAGAGAAAGTTAAATAACAACTTTATCATACTCAGATATAAATTCTGAGTTAACAAATGTCTTCACCTACCAACTGACACAAAACAGATAATTATATGGGGAATTAGATTATCTGTGGTGGCAGGGGTTCGATACACTCGGGACAGAATGGAGCCGTCACAGTTGTAATAATAATAATAATAATGGGTTCCATTTATAAAGCACTTCATATTTGATTTCAAATCCCGAAGTGCTACAAGCAGTGAGCATGAACAGTATAAATAAACATTACACATCACGGTAGAATTAATAAAAAGCAATCAAAAAAACAATAGAAATAGAATAAAATAAAAGGGTGGTAAAAAGGTCTAGGCAAAGGCTCTTTTAAAGAGATGGGTTTTGAGGCCTTTTTTAAAAGCCTCCACGGTCTGTGGTGCTCTCATGTGGTCGGGGAGAGCATTCCACAGACTGGGAGCAGCCGAGCAGAAGGCCCGGTCTCCCATAGTACGGAGCTTAGTCCTGGGGGGTTTGAGGAAGTTGGAGTTGCTGGAGCGGGTGGTCCGCAAGGAGGTATGGGGGGTGAGGAGTTCCTTGAGGTAGGGAGGGGCAGTTCCATGGACACACTGGTGGGTGAGGACGGAGACCTTGAATTCGATCCTCAGTTCCACGGGGAGCCAGTGTAGTGCTTTAAGGATGGGGGTGATGTGATCATATTTGCGCACCCTCATCAGGATCCTAGCAGCGCTGTTCTGAATGTACTGGAGCTTCTGCATGCTTTTGTTAGGGATCCCGATGAGGAGTGCATTGCAGTAGTCCAGCCTGGAGGAGACAAAGGCGTGGACCAGCTTTTCGGCGTCAGACAGAGTGAGTGTGGGGCGGAGTTTGGCGATGTTCCTGAGGTGATAAAAGGAGTTCTTGCACAGCTGTTTAATGTGGGCCTCAAAGGTCAGATGGGCGTCCATTTTAACACCGAGGTTGGTGACTATTGAGGAGAGGGTAATGTCCTGGCCGGAGAAGGTGATGGTGGTGATGGTGGATGACCGAACCTGGTGTGGGGTGCCAACTATAATGGCTTCGGTCTTGGAGCTGTTGAGTTTCAGGAAGTTTTGCTTCATCCACGCCTGTATCTCCTCCAGGCAGGCAGTGAGTGTGGGTGAAGGCAGGGCTGCAGAGGAGGTAGGGTTGATCCTGAGGTACAGTTGGGTGTCATCAGCGTAGCAATGGAATGATACTCCATGTCGGCTGATGATAGAGCCAAGGGGGAGCATGTAGAGTGTGAAGAGGGTGGGGCCTCACCAGTCACTTCTTTGCCACTGACTGCCTGCAGCTGATGTCATGACAATGCATTTTTACAGCATTTCCAACATAACTGCCCCAGATAATTGGATAATAAAAATATACTACTTGTGTGTGTCTTTGAATCTTGTGTAACATTTTCTATGACACCCAGGTCTATTATTCATTCTAAACATACTTACAATGCATTATATTCTATATTTAATCACTTGTGATGTATCATTATACCTAAATATTGATGGTCCCTCATTGACATTCTTTTTGCAAGGAGACTATTTATTTAACAGCACTATGAATACAGTGTGTGTACATAAAGCGTCTTTGAGCATTAGGAAAAGCGCTATCAAAATCCCATGTATTATGTTTATTATTATTATATAATTATGCAGTGCTATAAGCAGATTTGAACATATTATGTATGTTTGATGATATGTATGATGCATTATTTGCATAGCTGTCATGAAAAATGTTCCCAAAAAGTCAGAAATTATGTGTTTCTATGGTTTTGCTTTTTTAATTATCTGATGAAATAAAAATTACTGAACTCTTCTTTTCTCCACCGTCCCATCACAGGAAGTAGTGGAGGCCGTTGGTGCTGGAGTGGATCCCAGCAGCAACTTCACCTTCGTCAGCCAATGGGATCTGGCCAGTGCCTTCTTCTTCTCAGGAACCATCATCACAACCATCGGTAGGTGTTCAATAGGAGCATTTAGATACAATTCTGAGTTAATATTCAATGGAATCAGTTCAACGTATCTTAATCTTCCACCTTTGACCCGCACATGTTCAGGTTTTGGAAACATCTCCCCCAAGACAGAAGGAGGGCAGCTGTTTTGCATTTTCTACGCCCTGGTGGGAATCCCGTTGTTCGGTATCCTGCTCGTTGGAGTCGGAGACCATCTGGGTACTGGGTTGAGGAAAGCTGTTGGCAAAATAGAGACTCTCTTACGGGTCAGACCCTCAACAGAGCTTTCAATGTCTAATTTGCTTGCACTGTACATGTACTCTCCTTTACTCGCCTCATCCTACTTGTTTATTACCCTGCTGATAGAAATGGCGAGTTAGCCCGACCATCGTACGAGTGATCTCTGCCGTCCTGTCCATCCTGCTGGGCTGCCTGCTCTTCGTTGCATTGCCTATATTCGTTTTCCAAGAGGTTGAGCATTGGACTCTTCTTGAGTCGGCCTACTTTGTGGTAATCACCCTGACGACGGTGGGGTTCGGAGATTATGTTGCAGGTATACGACCACACACGTGTTTAATAGTTGGCTAACAGTATTACAATATTATATCAATATTGCAATGTGGAAATTAGATATCTTATGAGGAGTCTTGTCAGATTTTACTCAAAAGCAGCTAACACATTACACAGAATAGTTTCTTTCACAGAGGGAAATGTACACTGATACGGAAAAGTGACAGTGCAGATTAAGGGCCAAATAAAATGCGAGACAATCATATTAAATAAAGAAGCAAGCTCATCTTAATAAAAGCAAATCAAATTAGTACACATCCATGCTAAACAAATGTATAAATAGGTAGCAGCATTATAAAAGTAGCATTATGCAACAAAACATTGTACAAAAGTATATATTCCACATAGTAGTATACTGTCTTAAGTAGTCAAGTAGCAGCCAGTGAAAATAATAATATATTGCAAAAGAAATGGGTATATTGCTCATTATTTTGATATTGCACAACATTATGTATACTGGCCATATGATTTTAAAGTGAATATACAATACCTTTTATGGTAATGAAGCTGTCAAATGTAAGGAAAAAGTAGGGAATTGTTGAGCTGACTTTTTTACTGGATTCTAAATCTCTAAGTCTGTCCTTGCCCTTTCTTAAAGAGGCTAGGTTTTATTTTTGTCCTGAGGTCACGTCGGAGCAGAACTTGAGCTGACCAGAGGGCCTAACCCTCTGTTAGGTGCATCAAAGTGTCTATAATCTATAAAAAAAAAATTGCATTTCAACAATCACTGTCTTGTTATCACTGGACACACTTTAATACACAGATCAATATGAATGTATTAGTGACATTGCCATGTTTGTGAAAATGCATTTGAAGTGAAAATGTGTTTTAAATCTGACTTTACATATTTTAGCTTTTTCATTGAATTCATCGACCTGTAGATGAGAAGACTTAATTAGCCATCTGTAAATGCATCAATGTCAGTTGTAATGCATTAAGTTCACTTAGCACAGACCATTTTCATTTCCCTCATAAATTATTCAGGGTGTTGAGATAAATGATTGATGATCTAATATGCTATATAGTGTCTCTTTTGTTAAATGTTTATTTACTTGGATGGATGAATATGTTGCGTTTACACACTGTTACTGTATACTGTGTCTTCTTAAAGGGGATTCTGGAAATGGGGGAAGCGAGCACTGGTACAAGCCTTTGGTGTGGTTCTGGATCTTGCTGGGCCTTGCCTACTTTGCCTCCATCCTGTCTATGATTGGTAACTGGCTTCGAGTTCTATCTAAGAAGACCAGAGCTGAGGTACTCCACATTCTCATGTCTGTTTTTTTATCACATCTCGCCCAGATTCCTTTCAATAATCTCTGTTTATATCCTCTTCTCAGATGGAAGAGCTTCGAGCCCACGCAACGGACTGGACTCAAAATATCCAGAACATGTCGGTGGACTTTCGCATTGCAGGGAAAATCGATGACCCCTTCAAACGGCGTCGACGAAAGCGCCGCCACGGCCCTCGTGTCCATGGTCACAGTGTGTCAGCTAACGGGGTCCCCGATGGTAAAGAGGAGCAGCGTGAGAGTCACACAGAGTCTGAGTCTTACTCTTCCTCCTCTTCCTGCTCTAATGAATCAGGGTCTGAATCAGAGTCAGACTCCCAGGCCACTCAGACGGAGCGAGTGCCCGGAGAAAAAACTGCAACAGAGCCTAAAGAGGAGACGACTCTTCCAGATCCACAGCTGTCTCAGCCTCTGGACTACTTTGGGGAGAACCTGGCCTTCATCGATGAGTCTTCAGATGCCCAGAGTGGGAAACTACACTTAGATCCTCTGATTGATACTTCACAACCAAACTCTGCACGCCATCGTCCGGCCAGGAGGAGACGCCAAAGAAGACCTGTTCCCCCGAGAAGCCCCAAAATCAACCGCTCCTCAAACCCTGACAAGAAAGAACCCAATGGAAAACCAGTTCCAGCTGTGCCAGTAAAGCCTCAGGATTGAAGCTGATAACAGGTGCTCACACAAGTATCACCCTGAGAGATATGAGAGAGTAATTCTCAACATAGCAATTAATGTGTGTATATGTACTGCTTACTTACAGACACTTAAAATTAAAATGCTGCAGATGCCTTAGCCACTTGTGGTTTGCTTTTAATGCATGCAAGTGTGTATGCCTCAATCAGAGATGATGATATGCCAATGTTCCCATTACTTTCTGAGGAGTGACTGCTCTCTACTGGGCCAAAACAGAAATGCACTTCTACCCCTCTCCACATGAGGGTTCCCGCCTTTTACTAATCCAGAAACAAGAAAGAGAGATAGGTAGTGAGAAGTGTCCACAGTGGTGTGGAGCTCCAGGTTGCTTTGGTCTGAGACAATAACACTTTAATCCTGCCAATCATTAAACGGGTACTCAAACAGGCTCTTGAACATTTTTGGTATGTAACAACTTTTTTAAATTCTGTGTACAACCATAATATTGGCATTCTGATGGCCAAATGCATTAATCCTACTGAACTGCATATGTAATAAAGATGTGTTTACATAAAAGAGGCTTTGTGTGTTATATGCATGTTCAGGGTGTCAATCTTTCGGTAACTCCCAAACCAATGTCAGTTTTCGGGGGTCACAAACAAGTCATGGTGTTTAAAAACAATTCTCCATTCAAAATACATTATCATATCATTCAATAGGGGTAATTTTAAGATCTACTCCAGTCTTCTGTGCACTCATATTAGCGATTTGGAAAATGCTGGCAAGAAAGCAGATTACTTGAGTGTTTTTCAATTTCGTTATTTATTTATTTAAAAAAATAGAAATGCAACCCTTAGACATTTTTTCATGCTTAACTCGCAAATATAAACACATTGTTCTAAAAAGGTTTTCAGCGTTTCTCAATTCTCAGTGACTTACAAAATAATGATAATAATGGTGTGTGGGTCACTGCCATCAATAGAAATATCTAGCGTCTTTTGTAGGAAAAATAAACGACTTTGGGGAGTTCTGGATCAATTCAAAATGGTAGGAATCTTGATTCTTACATGAATCAATTTTCCCTCCCCCTCAATGTTTGGTATAGCATAACTCAGTTTCAGCCCATAAGCTTCTCTGGGAATCATGATCTTAACTGAACAACCATCATCTTTTATCCCATATGTTGGGTCAACATGTCAAACAAAGCAGGGATTGAGCATAGTAAAGTGCATTAGGGAGTGCTTAATCACAATGAGGGTTTTAAATCTTTCTCCAGAGATCAAACACACATCAAGCAAACACAGAAAACACAAATCTGGCTACAATGTGTTCTCACTGCACCAGCAGCATACAGTGCCTCTATATGAGGATCATAGGTATGGACTGGAAAATGGTATCAGGTTTTATAGATGATTCAATAACTCATGTCAAATGTTCCTGGAGGTTTTATGGTCTGTGCTGGCGAAAAGATGCTGCTCACAGAATCTGTCAGTCACGCTTCATTTTATAGGTGTCTAGGCTGCAACGATTATAGTGGTTCCAATCACCAGATTTATACGGTGGCCGACACTTCCATTAGGACACTGCGATTTTAAAAACAATGCAAACAAAAAAACACATAAATATGAAAAAACATTTTCACCAAATTGACAACACTTTATAATACCCGAACGTCAACAGGCCCTCCGGTGCCTGCTGTGTGTTTTCAGCTTCTTCTAGCATTTTTATTTTTATTTGCGGAATTTTGTATTTGCAGTGTTTTCATTATGCATCACTTCTAGGAAACGCTGCGCATGTGTTTTTAAGTTGGTAAAGAGTTTTCTTCATTTGCATGTTTTTTTGGCCCATTCGTTTTTTTTTTTTTGTTTTTTTTTTGTGAAGATGTAGCATGTTGCTCTGAATCTTTGAATCTAGAATCTTTGAATTTGAGGTGTTTTTGCGGGCATTGCAGCACATTTGCACGTGTCGGCCATCGTAGTTTCCACCAACAAATCACCTTGTTTGGCTAAATATGAAGAAGAATAGCTTCAGACGTCTTCAGCCCTGATGATGGCGCTAGAGGGAAAATCAGAAATTACCAAAGTAATTCAAATTCATCCTCTAATCACAATGAAAGAAATATAAAGACAATCCATTAAAAGGTTGCTTAGATAGTTCAGACAGAAGTGATGTCTGGCCGTGACCGGTATATCCCTAGAGAGAAACCCCAAACACCAGAAACAATGCTCGGCTTTAAAGTAATTCTAAAAAATTAAAGTTGTTTCTCAATCAAGTTTAGCTTTTCTCAGGGTTTTGTCCGTAGTCCGAAATGCAGGCCTTAAGTTGTGCACGGATAAAGAGGCGAGAATGTATGTGGAGGCAGGCCTTACACATGGTACAGGAATTGAAAGGCATGCACAAAGCACGGTATTGCAGATGCCCTGTATGCATGCCCTTCAAATTGTCAATATGGGCCTTTTAGCATGTGCTGTTGGTCCTCAGTTGATCCATGTAAGTGATACGCTGCTGGAAACTCTACCTTGGTAGAGGACAAACATGGTGCAGTGTCCGCAGTTCTTTTGTTGTCTATTTTATATTAAAGAAAAGCTGCTGTTCCTCTGTGTCACAAAATATCAGATTCATAAAATTGAAGTTGATACTAATTTTGAATAAAAAGTTTTAACCCTTCCATTCTGGGTAAATGGATGCAGATTTTCTTGTCTTTGAACACAACCAGCAGATGGCATACACTGACACGTTTCCCTCTCTATGACAGAACAAGTCTAACTTATACTTCCATACATCATAGTTGTCTTTGTTCTTTCGTGACCTTCTTGATGATTTGAGATTAAACAAATTGCTCTTTGCCTTTTTTTGGCAAGTGAGCAAAATGTTATGGCGAGTGAGCAAAGTGTTTTTAAAGGAGACCAGTCATCTGCCCTTTAGAAATCTGACACTTTACTGCAAGATATGTAAAAAAGAGTAAAGGCAGCGTTCTGGCATTGCAATCAGGAAGTCAGCAGGCAGTGATGATGTGCTGTGGCAGTGGGTGACCTTTCAGTGGAGGACAACCACTCACTCAGCTGCTGGAACGTCATCAATGCCGCTGCTGCAGATCACTGTGCTGCCACTAGTTGGCAAATAACTGTGTCATAGTGTTTGTAGAGCTCATATAGAACACTCATGCAGTTAAAGGGAAAATCCCCTCTAATCTAGAATCCCAATAAGCTATTTCTGCAGTATACCACACTCCAGATTTGCACAAGTGTGTCTTTCAGCTGTAGTAGAAAAACTGCAGTTATCATTATTAAATACAAATCAATGAGCTGCTCAATAATGGGGAAATTGTCTAATTCAAGAGCTTTATGCTGTCATGAAATTTGTCATTTTTCACTCAATTAAGTATGGTATTATCAAGTATGGGTCGTTAAGATATCAGATTTAAGCCACTTGATTACTGTGGCCAAAATAATTACAACACATTTATTTTTGCTATCAGTAATTCCTCTTTAACTCTGTTTAAATTGTGCAAATTGTCTCTTTTTTGACAAATGAAATACATTTAAAATAAGAGTGCAGGTACTTTAACTGTACAAAAAGAACAGTTACACCTATGGATAGTGATATTTAAGAATATTTCATTCTATAAATCTCCCAGTTATCATAAAAACCAGTATATCACAACATCTCGATTATCAATCCAAGATGCTCTGATCTCCAATTTAGTGAAACAACTGTCAAATGCCCATTTTTCAGTGAATGTTTCAACTTAATATAAATGCAATTTGGATATGCACTCTGACATAGAGCCTTCTTATTGCACCAGGATAAACTGAAAGAGAAATGCTGTTAAATCCTACACACCACCCCCCTTTTAGTCTACTATGCTAATGCTGATCAAGGTGTTCTTTTTAGTAGTAAAGGTGGAGGCACTTATGTTATCCATGAGTCACTGATGCAGTGCCAGATGCTATTTGTGTATCACAAACAATGGCGTCTTGGTATTTATGAAGCCTATCAGCTGACACCTGTCTAAGGTCAGGACCTCCTGTAAGAAGCACCCCGGGGACCCCAGCTGTCTTTCACAGTATGTTTCTACTGTTCCCAGCTTGAATACATATCCACTGCCTTTCCCACTCACTGTCCTGAGTAAGTCCTGAGTAAGTCCTGTCATGATGCACTAAATCTCCAACAAACCAAATTGGACAAGCTATTGAGTGAATCTAATGAATATGGCCGGTTTGCCTCTAACAGGATGATAATGCAGACTCTGCACCAGTATGATGCAGCCCCGCAGAATTGCAGTGTCTGCAGCAGAGACTCAATGACCTTGCTTCAAGGTCGCAATGACACTGCCGTCAGTTTTTCCTCTCGTGCGCGCACCACGTAATAAAAAACTGTCCCGAGCTTATTGCACACACAGCCTGCATGTGACCAAATTAAAAAACACACACACACACACTGATGTCCTGCAAATTTGATGGACACACACACCGCGAGGGAAGTGCAAGTGTGGCTTATTGGTTTAAACAGACTAGACTAACGTTTATTGGTCTATAATTAGATGGATAATGCTGGGCTCTGTGGGGAAATACTCACTTAGGCAATCCAAAGTATACCGTGGGCTGCTACTGTCTTTCCCTTTTTTTCAAATCATTGTTTTCATGCCACTTCTTTTAATTAGTGGCCAAGGTTGTCAACTCTTCCGTGACAACTTCCCTCCTCTCGAGCCAGCTGTTACCAGGCATGTTAGAGATCGCAGGGGGGGGGGGGGGGGCTGCCTATTTCGAGAAGCAGCAGGCTACCAAGTTAGAAAATAAACGTGCATTTAATTGTTGTTATTTGATTACGCATATGGCAAACCGTCTTGAAAATAAAAAATATTATATATTTTCAATTCAAACTACTATCCCTTGATTATTTCCTCATCCCATTGCAGTGATCCCCTGATCTCCTGTTTCTTGGCTCCTGTCCAAATAGTGTAGTGCTGGAGAGAGCCGGGTCAGTGTCACAAGACCAACAGCATGACTATTTTCCATAGAGGTGTGCTGCAAGCGACATGTATACCATTATTTTTCATTCTCTCTCCCCTAAAGCTTGTGGCATTGCCTTAATCAAAATAAAAGTGTCTTTACAAAAGCCATTCTGATATTGAATGGAAGGTAAGGAAATACAAACGCTAATAAAATGAATAATAATGCCAATACATTGTACATGTATGCGTTGTATTCAAGCCCTTGTGGGAATTTCATGTTTATATTTATTTATATTGAGCTGCAGGAACAGATTTGGATTAGTGCTATGACACAACGGATTCAGCTGATGTGACACATTCTTCAGGCCGCCGGATCTTCATAAATAGGCTGTACCTGAGTATATTAGGAATAACGTTGACTGGGTCACATATATTTTTTTTTACGAGTTGCAGGCCCTTATTATAATGCTGATGACGCTGTTGGAAGGTGCGTACGGTGGGACGTAACGGAGACACAGCGGACGCAAATTGGACAGAGGGAGGAGGAAAGACACGGGATATAGGTGACGTCACGGAGCTGCCTCAAGCTAGCGAGCAGGA